CAAGGGAAGTGGTGCTGGCTCCTACCCTGGGGGTCTTTAAGAGGAGGCTGGATGAACACCTTGCTGGGGTCGTTTGACCCTAGTACTCTTTCCTGCCATGGCAGGGGGTTGGACTTGATGATCTGCTCAGGTCCCTTCCAACCCTACTAACTATGAAACTATGTTACACAAAACTAGGGGCCAAATCTTGCAGTCCTTTAAGTCTCAAGTGGTCACTGATGTTAATGGGAATTTCTCTCAGTGGTGACAGAATGGCAGGTCTGCTTACTAGCTCTTGCAAGCACCAAATAAACAGACATGAACCAGCTGAAGTTGGGAAGTTCCTGAGTATGTGTAGTGAAGCGGGTATTTCTGCACAAGGGTGTGAGTGAAGCGGGAATTTTTGCACAAGGGTGAGCTGCTTGACAGAAAGTTCTGCCCTTGCTACCATGGCCCAATTTACTTACTAAACTCTGAAGTCAAAGGAAATGCTAACTATAGCTCAGAAAAGAAAGGTGGAGGGGGGGAAGGGACATCTTATTGCATTCATTTTTAATAAAATATTTCTATTGAAATCAAGTAAGAGTTTTGAGTAAAGCTCTTGTGGAACAACAGCAAATCTTTCTTCTTTCCTTCCTGAAGACCAGTGTAAAATTGAATACATTTTATCATGCTGCTGAATTTTAAACCTAGCTCCCCAGTACAATGGGGAACTGAGCTTAAAATTCAGTGGTGAAATATGAAAATGTTAAGGTTAAATACAGCTGTTTTGAAGGAAATAGAAGGTATTACTACATTTTGGTTAAAAGATGAGCTTACTTTAGAAAAAATGTTAGTACAGTGAGGGGATGGGACAGACAGGCAAATTAAGAAGTGCTTTGCCATCAGAATTTTCAATGAGTAATTCATCTACTTATCTACTTCATACACAGCTGCACAACCCACTGAAATCCTGATTCAGTATGCAGAAAATATTATTAAAAACCAAACCTCATTTAGCATGCTAAATCCTACCCTCCCATGTTACAGAATAGTTAGCTCAGCATTGGTCATTCTGCATGAAACCCAGGCACTTTATAAATAACAAAGAGAAAAACTTGAGGCTGGACGTGTAGAATAAATTGTTTCCAGAGAGAGAGAGGGAGGGTTTGGAAGCATGACTGTCATCTTTTAAAGTACTGAAGTGTTGGTAATAGATATTATCAGCAATTTATCCTTTATTGTGGGGATAAACAATTGTGGTAGTGTCCAAAATGTGTGAAGCACTTTCAAAACAAGGGGAAAAACAGTCTTTGGTCAGGAGAATGTATAATCTTCATGACAAATGCTGGCTAGAAGGTGGGAAGGGAAAAGAAATGAAACATGCAAGCAGGGCTTATCAGGGTAGTGATGGGTGTGTGGCAGTTTTGCAAAAATCTAGTTGGTCTAATAAAAGACCTCTACCACCAGTTCTGATTCCTTTTGCCTCTAGTCTAGACCAATACATCTACAACCTGGATACCTGACTCCTTACTTACATGGTCTTTGTTGTTTTTCTTGTCCTTCTTCAAAGCAATAGACATTATCTTCCTTTTTCCTCCTTCCCCCCAGCCTTCTACAAATCAACATTTCCACCGTTCTCCCATGCTAAATCACAGATGTAGTTCCAGTGTCCTTATCATCCTTCCTTCCACACCAACAAACAATTTATTCATTAATTAAGGGAGATAGATAAGCAAGTTGTTGATTAGATCACTTAATTTCTTAAAGACAGCACAGAAGTGAATCTTCAAGGGGGATTTTTTGTGGATAAAGCCATCAGGGAAGAGACGGCGACTCGGCAGACAAACAATGCATTGCTGAAAGTACTATGGGATTAGAGAGGCCAGAATAGGTAAGGTGATAAAAAGAGAAGCAGAAGTATGGAGGGTGTGAACAGGGCTTGAACAACAAACAAAAGGCACCTTTTGTTTATTTAATGAACAGTAACTGCCTGGAAAGACATAAAGATCATATTTTGGAAGCAAACACAGGGACACTAATATCTAACTAAACTAACATCTAACTAACTAACTAACTAACTAAAATCACTTAAAAGACATTAGGTAAGCTTTGTGCCTAATGTGACAAAGTCAAACCTGAGCTCTCAAGAGAAGCTTTTTCCCGTTCCAGTGCTTTCAGGATAGTTGAAGGATCCTACCCTGTCCTAACTTCTGCTTGAAGGGTTCTAGTAACTCCTAACAGCCTGTAGGAGGATAATATTACTGCTGGATATCGGTTGGAATGGCCTATGGCCTGAGTTTCAGTTGTCATATTGTCAGCAAAAAATTAAAGCAAAAAACAGATTTTACTCTACAGCCCAATGTAACATTAACCTGTTCCTGAGAACACAAAGTGAGCTTGTAAGAGAGGTGGAAACTGAGTGTGTGCACATTAGGCCTAGGGACTGTACCCTGGTAGTAGTGTCTCAAACCACACTCTGACCAACGGGAGTTCAGGGTTGGAGGGGGAAGTAGGATATCCATGGTGCCTTGCACAGTTATCTGGGTGGGATGCTGCCTACTCATAAGATACTCTGCACCTTTCTCAACATGCCTTTGGCTTTGTGGCACTATTTCCCAGTGAAAGCCCCCCACTATGGTCAGCTGATAGGACTAACGAACATGCCATGCTATTTGACTCAGGGAAACAGGGTGTTATTAATTCTTTTACTGGACCCAGTGTTTGATTCTTCAATGTACTTTTATAATCTTGTCCACTCACATTGAAATGGAGTCCCAGGCAATGTCCAACTGCAGGTTAGGGTCCTAAAGAGTTATAGATCTTCAGAAAATAACACAAAATATGATACTATGCACTGTAACATGATGTTACTCATTTCTGCTTCAGCGGGCTAATGACTTCCTCCATCTGGCTACCACGCATATCGTTTTAAAGCAGAACTAACTCCCTGCTGAAATCTGTAAGGACTTCTGATAAAACAGTGTGGCTTTAATATGTCACTGAAAGGCAAAAGGCTGGGTAGAGGTGCTCAATCAGAGATGCATAAGCTTTCATGAGCCACAGCTCACTTCATCAGATGCTAAGTTTAACAAAAACTATTTGAAACTTTATGTCAAATTTGGAGAATGGCTTTCTCCAAGCCAAAAATGGAAACATTTTCAGAAAAGTCAAAGTGTTTTGTT